CCAAAAAACCACAGTAGGCCTAGGAAACGACATACTGGAAAAAGGAAGAAACAAATTTTAGAAAGCCTAGGGCGTTTTGCTTAATTTACATTGCAAAAATAAGCACATAATAATTAAACAGACACTTTACCGGGGCCAGATAGCTATAGTCTGTTAATTTTTTAATCAATTACTTCAAATTCCAAACTACTTAAGCCCTAAGAAAAATATATCAACCAAGTTTCTCGGCAGCCAAACAGAACAAAATTCCATTGAATAGAAAAAACTAGAAAAAAATCCAACCTGTGAAACAGGGAGGGACGGTGATCCGTCAGATAAACCTTTCAAGGAATCAGAAGAAGATTTGTTGGAGGGAGCTCTGGCAGACTCGGACAAAGCGGGCCACGACACGGCATCCATCACGGGCCCGGCTTCGTTTCCATTCGAAGGCTTGTTCCATGCAGGTCTCTTGCCAGCATTGCCATTGTTTCCGTTGGCATCCGAGTTATCTTCCTCTCCGACAAGCGCTGCAGCCGGAGTCGAAGGAGCCGATGTAACTGTTGGAGGTGTATCAATGATTGCTTCCTCTATAACGGTGATTTGGGGGATATTGGGCGATGAAGGAACAGCTACAATCGGCTCTGATTCGCCACGGACGATTTGAGTCCAAGGAGAAACGATCGTCCTCCCAGAGCGGCGTGATTGAGCCGTGGGACTGCTGATATTCTCAGTGGAGTGACGAGGAGAGTGAGTATTCATGTTATTTGCAGTGGCAGCCATCAACGAACAAAAATAAATAACAAAAAATGATTAGGGTTTGTCTGTGTCGACGAGGTGATCGACAGGCGAGGGGTAAGAAAGGAATAAAATTTGATCCTCGCTTCTCAAACCGCAGAAAAAAAACTTTTTATAAAGAAATTATCTAGGGGAGAGATTAGGGTTTGATAATGTGAGAGCGGTTCCAAAAATTTTCAGAGATGATGATCTGACGAAGAGAAGAGATCGAGTTTGTAGAGAAGAGCGATGGTGGCTCTGTTTCTCTCGTTCTCTCTCTCTCTCTCTCTCTCTTCTATTCTTGGGGGGTTTGGTTGCTTAGCCCTTGGGAAATTCTGGGATGCCCAGGTTTTAGCCACAGTAAATTATCGACAATACCCTCTCACCTGGGATAATTTGGTAATTTAACCTCTAGGTTTTCTCTCTACTGTCATTGATCTGATCTAGTTGGATTTTTATACCGAGTCACAAAGGAGTGACCTTCACCTATTACGCCTCTGACTCCTATTTCTAAAAATCCTTTAACACCTCGGATTAGTATTTCGTATTTACTTAATTAATTTTTGTAATAATTCTTTTAATATTTTCACGTATCTTTTTCAATAATAAATTATAAAATGATTAAATCAATAATAACCCGGTGCAAAAAAACAAAGAAAATATCTAATTTCTTCATTATTACTTTTATATTTCGTTTGTTGCCTAAATTATTCGATAACAATTCTAGAAGAAGTCAAAGTTTCTGAAATTTCTTCCCACAGTTCAATTATTAAAAAATAAATAAATAACATCTACTGTTTTTAGAATGGACATTTATTAGTTGATTTAATTAAATCGTATTTGGGGAAAAATATTTTAATTTTATAGAAATATAAAAATATTCCCCAAGTCACGTCAACAAAAGGGTACAAAATTTTAAAAAAGGAAACCAAAAAAAAAAAAAACAAACATTGAATAGAAGCATTCCCGTCCGTTGTGCGTGTGTCTTTGGTTTTTTTTTTTTTTTTTTTGTTTTGTTTTTTAACGATTCGGTACGAGTGTCACGTAGCGGAATAGGCACGTGCGTTCCAAAGTAAAAACGTGATAATGGGCCTGGCCCATTGGTGTTACTGACGGTGAGACACTAACTCTAGATGGCTGCTACTACTAATTTATTTATTTATTTATCATTATTAATTCAAAATCAACGAAGATATACGTTTCTTTTATGATGTATCGTTGAGAATTTAAAACATAAACAATCACGTAGATATGTATGTATAGGAGGGTTTATATTGGGTGGAGTTAAAGTCTAACACAAAAAACTAGGAACAAAAACAGAGAATATATTATCGTTACTATTAGAGTCAATGGCTGTAACAAACACCACTCTTTATAAAATACTAAATCATCGAGGATTCTATTGCCTAATTATATCTATATATATATATATTATATTATATTATATGTTGTGGTACGATGTACACAGTGTTTAATTTTTTAAAGGGTTTAAACTACACAGATTTAGTAAATATAGATTTTATTAAATATTGAAGGAGAGAAATGTGTATGATAAATAACTTGTCTTATTTTAGGAACAGTTTATTCGGAGAGTTGTAAGAAAGGGAAAATTTTGAGCTCGTGTCTTCGGCTAAAATTAATTAATGGTTACCATAATCAAAAATCTTGTGATCATTCATTGTAATAAAGCAGCATAAACCACGGCTAGAACAAAGTAGTTGCACTAGTCTTAAGAGTATCATGATTAATTAACCATCCTGAATTCAGATTATTTATAGTTGATAATCAATTAGTTATGTGCATGCGCGCATGCATGCAGGCAAGGACAGAAGAAAGATTTTTGTGATAGCGGTGGAGATCATTAACTAAGGAAAGAGGTAGATTGAATAAAAATGAGTGGTGGAGAGGGGAATGAACAGACGGTGGGGGCAGAAATCAGAGGAAGAGACTACGAAGATCCGCCGCCAGCTTCTCTAATAGACATGGAAGAGCTGAAGAAATGGTCGTTTTACAGGGCTGTGATTGCAGAGTTTGTCGCCACCTTTCTCTTCCTTTATGTCGGCATTGCCACGGTTATTGGTAACAAGAAGCAGATTCATCCCTGCGATGGTGTTGGCCTTCTCGGCATTTCTTGGTCCTTTGGCGGCATGATCTTCATTCTTGTCTACTGCACGGCTGGAATTTCTGGTATAATACGTACACAAATGTTCAGGTATATGTAAAAGCAATTAGGAGTTTAATTAATGTTGTTGTTGTTGTTTGAAAACGAGGAATGCAGGTGGACATATAAATCCAGCAGTGACATTAGGACTGTTTGCGGCGAGGAAGATGTCGCTGATTAGAGCGGCGGCGTATATGGTGTCGCAGTGCGGGGGAGCAATATGCGGCGTGGGGCTAGTGAAGTTATTCATGACACGTTCCTATAATATGCATGGAGGAGGTGCCAACTCAGTTGCACCCGGCTTCTCGACAACCACTGGGTTAGGGGCTGAGATCATTGGAAGTTTCGTCCTTGTTTACACCGTCTTCTCCGCCACCGACCCGAAAAGAAGTGCACGTGAATCCTTCATTCCCGTCAGTTTTCTGCAACAACTTCTTCATTATCTCGTTCCTCTCTCTCTCTCTCTCCATGTATATATGTTAAAAATAATTAATGAAATATTAGGTTTTGGCGCCGTTGCCAATTGGGTTAGCTGTGTTCATGGTGCATCTAGCCACCATCCCAATCACGGGCACTGGCATTAACCCAGCTAGGAGCTTAGGTGCGGCTGTCGTCTACAACAATCAACAAGTCTGGGACGAGCAGGTCTGTCTTCATTCAACTCTTATTTCATTGCCACATTCATGTTAATTAATTTATTTTGAAATAATAATTGACAGTGGATTTTCTGGGTCGGACCCTTCCTTGGAGCACTGGCTGCAGCTGCATACCACGAATATGTATTAAGAGCAGCTGCTGTTAAAGCTTTGTTGTCTTTCCGACCTCACTAAAACAGAGCACGTCCCTGTTCCTTTTGGTTGCCTACTTGTACTTTAGTTACTTTTTTTTTTTCTTATAAATTTCTTTTTCTTTTTAAAAGTAGCTTCAAAAACAAACTAAATATTTTCACAACAAGAGAACCATTTTATTTCACTTTAAATAAGTCCTACCCTGAATGCAAATCCCAACCGAAGGGAGGTGATGAGGAAAATAAAATTGACTCAACAGGGAAACAAATGGAGGAACACGTGAATGGCTAGTTTTCTAAAAGGTGTCCTTCAAGTTCCCAAGCTTCATGTCAGTCGTCTGATGCACACACGAGCATGCCACTATTGAAACCTTGTACTTGTTCTTCACACAGTTGTTGAGAGGTGGATAACTGTTTTTAAGTAAATAAAGGAAGATACCCACGCGGACAAAACTGGCATTTATGCCAGACAGTAAATTAAATTACTACTTGGTTTAAAAGCTACAATTTTACAATGGCAAAAGTAAGACGGGGCAAGGAATGAACTCAGCCAGTAGATTGGCATCTACATGCTTGGAATGGATAGCTTCCATGCTCATCACCACTAAATCCAAATCTAGATCATCAGCCACCTCACCGATGATTGCAGTGGGCTTGTTTTCTTTCCCAAGTCGCTCTAACAACCTGAATTCCTGGAATCCACCTGCATTACATATCATTCTCCTGAAAATTTGTGTATCTCATATGCTTGGAGGAGAAACATTCCCTCAATTCATAAAAATAATTATAATGCAAGAACACAAAAACCTTCAGAGAGATGCCAGCGGATGCTAGAAAGTAGGGTTTCGTGCTCTGGCAATGATTCTTTCTGCTTTTCGTCGATAACTGCAAAGAACATAAAGTTCTTATTGCTTCAAGTCTTGCTTTAAAAATTGTCTTTAGTAGTAACATGTCTCTGCTAAGTTGCCATAAAACAAGAATGAAAGGGAGACAGGTCAATGCACATACGGACAACTGTGATATCAGCTCCATACTTCTTCGCTAAAGCAGCAGTGGTTGCAGCAGCCTGACCAAGCAAGTTAAACCCCAAAATGAGGAAAAGTAAAAAGAGATATATTTTAGCCAAGATTTAAAAGACACGAACAATATATGATCATAAAGCTCTCCAACATTTCGTGAACATTGAACATCATCTTTCAAGACTCCAATTTCCATTGCAAGATAACCATCATATATTGAAATTTCAACCTTGAAACAAATCATAACAAGTGAAGCGGTAAAGAGAATGCTCATAATATATATATATATATATATATATATAGAAGGATCCTGCAACTATGATAATATATTTCTTTTGAAAGAGCAATGATATATTGTACAAGAGAAAGAAGTCCCCGTCACTGCCCTCCCACAAAATAAAAAAAGAACCCAGATGCAACTAATTTAAGGTTACTGAAAGAAAGTCACCTGTCTTGTTCCTTCAGAAAGATAAGGATTGCGATCTGTGATTGGCAAAAGCAGATGCTTGAAATTAGTAAAGGCTTCTTCAGCTAAAGGAACTTCAGATTCTTGTGGCTTAGCCTTGGCTGATAGCAAAAAAGAAAATTGAGCAACCAACCGCATAGGAAGTGTAAAACAGCATTTGTTAATACACTCAGTAGAGAAAAACTTAAGAATTACTAACAGTTAGAATAGAGCAGTAGCATCTTCACAACTAAATTACTTATCCGCTAAATTAAAAAGTGACTGAAACTCATTTTTTATTTAACGCTAAGCACTAGACAGTTATATGAAGTTCACTTCTTATCCTAAAACTATCTCAGGGAATGCTAGGTAATTTCAAACTTATGGATGATTTCAATCAAGTGAACTTCAAATATGACTTGTTTCTCATTAAGGCTGATCCTGCATTTACTAGAAGGACAACTGAGGTCTCAGTTCTAGTACTATATATCAGGTTTAGAACATGCAGATTTCTTTTGAGTCCAAGAATCTAAATTATGTGAAAAGCATTCTGCTCACTCTGTGCATTTACTATGGAATGCCCGAGTACTTAATGCCTCATGCATGAATTAACTTTCTGGTTCGGGCTTGTTCAAACTTCAAATTCTTATGGCTCAAAATAAATCTTAAACTAAATTCTCTAAGGTAACATTGGCTGGAAATGTTAATGCCATGAAATAGGACAAGAGTATACTATCTAAGAGATAAATGTTGATAGAGAATAAATATTCGAGTTCTGTTTTAAGTCGAGTGCATTTTTTATCCTATCTAGTCAAGCAGGAAACTTACATGTTGATTTTCAAAGGTTCAAGGTCAAAGTACAACTGGTTCAGCCATAAAAATTATAATTAAATAAAATAATGCGATAGGAAGTAAACATTGGGGCGGAAGAATATATTCTTTTCTTTTCCAAACAAGATAAGAATTGTTGCATATATCTCTTCCTTTCGGATTTTGGACTTGCTAAATAATACTATTTACCTTAATAGTTCTTCTCATTGCAGCACTGCGCAAGCTACAGAGAAACATAGAAGTAATTCACAATTCTAAAAATCTTATTCTCAGTCCAAAATCATGAAAACTAATTGCCCCTCATCTAGGGACTCTGGAGATTTGAGACATACTTCTCGGTTCATTTAGAGGGATAAAGTAAAAGATATAGACAATAACAAATTAATTCGTAAAAAGTGGTGGATTTCCGACGACGGAATGCAAAATTTTCTTTCTTCAACGAACTAATAAAATAATAGAAATAAGAGCACAAGCAAGCGCCAGGCAGCAGAACAGTGAGAGCAGATAAAACGTCAGCGGTTAATCACAGTAATCGACATTGGGAAGAACATCGAAAGTTCTAATATGTTTTTATAGCCTACTGGAGACAATAAGCAGGTCAATACTGAAATAAACAAGCGGAAAATGGAGATTACCGCTTTTTCTTAATCTGGCTGGCTTATGAAATACAGAAAGCTTGCTAGCTTTGGACCCGGGCGAAGCAGAAGCGAAAGACAGAGATAACAGAGAGTCGTTTGAAGAAGACGATGAAGATAGTACAGAAGCTTTAGCGTGCTTCGAGGTCTCCATGGGAACAGCGAACAAGCAGTGAGCAAGCGCCATGAAAGCCACTGAAACTGCGCGAGAGAATTGGGGATGGTTCGAGAAAGATGGACACTTCAAAAGCAGAAAGTAGAAAATGGGAAAACGGATGTAGATGATGACGACCCATCAATGATTCCCTGTATGCAACGTGTACCAAATATCGATTTACCGGTCTAGAAGGTGGGCCCATCGCCTATAATCATCCGTTGATTTCGGTTTCTTAACTGGTGGGGTCCTTAATCAGTGGCTTTTAACTTTGATAAGCGAAAGTTGTAAGGCTTTTGATGCACCCGCAGGCTCGCAGGCTGCAGCCGCTATTTCAATATGAAACGGGCCGTTTTGTTGCGTGGGCCTTGAAGCCCATGCTAACTGCCTGTGCAAGTGTATGCCCACTGGGAATACAAAACGCACCGTTTCTTCTTTTTCTCATCACCAAAAATTTAAGATGGCCTAGTCATGAATCTCCAGAAGTGGTATTAGTATTTTATTTCATTAAAAAAAAAAGTGCTAATATATATTTATTTTGGTAATATTTAATAATTTTTAGGAGGATTAATTAGAATAAAATTTTTGAGCCACCAGTTTAACCAAAATCGAATCTACCAAATCAGACTATCGAATTGTTCGAAAACGAATTACTTTTTATTCATTAAAATTTATCCGAGAACTTTACAGCTAAAAAAAAAAGGGAACATGTTTATGTTTGTTCATATGTTAGCATTAATATTCTGCTTCTGTTGAAATCAATAATTGTATGCTATTAGTAGGTAGCATATTGTATTGTAGTTAAAATCAAAGTTTGTTTTCTTTTATGGTTCTTGATTTAGTATAAGCATGATTAATTAGATAATGGGTAACAAATCATTCATTGTACGTATTCATATCACGATACTTTAATTTATTTTTTATAAAATTATATCTTATATGTCGTTAGTAAAAGATTATTTAATATGTATTTTTGATAAAACGTTATGTTATCATTAATGTATATGTAACATTTTATAAATAGTTATTCGAAATTACTTCACGATTAATCATTTTGTATTATTTTTTATTTTTTTTTACTAATAAAAGTAAAAATGAATTATTAATGTCCTATAAGGTAAATGATTAAGGTGGAACATTAATTATTGACAATAATAAAGTAACATGCAATGGGTGGATATGTAATGGAAAGAAAAAACAAAATAGATTCCCCATTAAAGATAAATGAAAAAAGGAGCTCTGAGAAATTTAATTGATCACCTTACAATCTTTTCTAACCTCCTGTCCTCCATTGAGGCTACTCATTTTGATAATCGATTTGACAAAAGCCTGGTGAAAAGCTTTTTTTGAGGTAGCAAATTTATAGACCAAAGACTTGGTGAAAGGAGTAGTGAGCAGGGCTTGATCTGAGGAGAAAAGTGCTTTTCTCTGTAGAACCAGCTTGTAATATGTGTTGTCAAAAGTTGTCGGTGAAGGATCCATTGTAGCTCCAGCATTCTTGACCTTGTTGTTAGGTGGACAGATGGTCCTTAGTCTTGTTGCAAAGGAAGGGCGCATTACGGGGTCTATGTCATGAGTGGTATTGAAGTTGTAGATTCTATTTCCGAATGACGAACAATGAGAAAATCCTAGTGTGTGTGCTCCTGCACATATTTATCTCAATTGTTACATATACACACACACACACACTTATATATAGTTATTGGAGTCACATACCTAAAAAAAATTGTATGTTAAAAGAGTAAAAGTATACCTAAAAGAGCTACCAAGTCCTTCAAATAGAGACCTCTTAGATAAAAGTTCTTCTGCAATTGAGATATGTTGAATGTTGGAGTTGGCAACGTTGTAGTTTCACTTGCTCTTGATATTCTTCCATCTCTTCTCCCTTTTTCCACACTCCATGTTGGACCTCCAGACTGTAAATTAATTAGCATTGTATATTGTAAAATGTTGCTCATAATGTTAATATATACAAGTAGGTATTATGTCTTACAAGCACAACAGCATCTCTGGCAGCCAAAGCCAGAATATCTGCGCAGGAGACAACTCCAGGACACCTGTCTTCTACTACCCTCTTTGCAACATCAATAACATAAAATGCATGTAGGGAACCATTCGGCGGTGCATCTTTCTCTGCTTTGTTGCCTCCTCCAGAGTTTAACAATATCGACCCATCACAACCCTTCACCAAATCAATAAACACATATAAAACTATTTCGCATTGTAGAAAAGAAAAAAAAAACACAAAAAGAGAAGACCTAATAAAATGGCAACGAATTACCCTTATGAAGCAGTCGTGAAAATGCATTCTGAGTAGAGCAGCAGGAACTGTTTTGTCTTTGGCCACTGCCTTCTTCACGATGTCATTCACAATATCATCAGCGTATGGGCACGTTTTCTCGTAGTAATTCAAGCTTCA